GCTTGCCCCTCGGGCCACGATGATTCACCGCTAGCGTTGCTTGGTGAAGCCTACCGCAACGCGGCGCTCATTCATCTTTACCGAACCCTTGCTCGCTGCATGAAAAGCTATTCAGGCATTCTGAAAGCGAAGCTGAAGGCTTGCGTAGAGTCGATATGTAAGCTTAGCAGACAAGTGTCAGAGGGTTGCCTCGTGGAATGCACTCTCCTTTTTCCCCTTTTTATGGCAGGGGGGGAAGCCCACGAGACCAGTGAGATAGAAATTATTAGAGAGAAGCTTGGCGAGATGATCAAGTGGCGAAAATTCCGAAACGTTGAAGCTTGTCTCGATGTTCTTGATGAAGTATGGCGGCGAAGAATGGATGGATCAAGGAGAGAAGACCAAGACAAGGTGGACTGGCCAGATGTGGTGAAGCAAAGGGGTTGGAAGCTTTCCATCTCGTAATTGCGAAGTTCCGAATCCCGAGAATAAAAGATCCCATTTCTTCTTCCCGTTGAATACAAGTTTATCCCGGAAAGATATGTCAGCGACATACGGCCTTCATTCAGTTAAGCTCCATCCCCGATCTGGGGCCGCCGTTGGCGCCAGAGTTTGCGCCATGCGGCTTAATGACATGCACTCTTATCACCTCACTACTGGTGCATTAGGCTTTAAATTTAAGGTAAGATACATTACCGTCAATGTGTTGATCGCCTGGTGGTAAAGGAGTATAAAATACCAGCTTGTCTCTATGCTCCTCACACCAACACCAACCAACTCTCCCTTCTCATACCCGAAGAAATCCTGTCAATAACCAAGATGGCTACGACAACGCAAACTGTTACCACGATAGCAAATCCCTCGAAGAAAGAAGAGCTCGAGGAACGGGCGGACCAGGCCGCTGTTCCATATCGAGGTCCTCGTCTTCCCGCTGTGCCTGACGACCTTGTCATTCCAGGAATCTTCGACATTGAATGCGACGAGCGTCTCTGGGTCCCCCAAGCACCAGACGTTTGGTTCCGACCTCTTCTTCTCTCCGTTTCTGGCGGCTACTTTGTCAACATCCTTCGAGTCCGAAGATCTGGTATCCTCTCGCGTCATCGCCACGCTGGTTGTGTGCACGCAACAGTTCTCAAGGGCCGCTGGCATTATCTAGAACACCCCTGGTGGGCGACAGAGGGCGGTTATGCCTTTGAACCTCCTGGAGACATTCATACTCTCGAGGTTCCGGAGGATGTGAAGGAGATGGTGACCATGTTTCACGTCACGGGGGCTTATATCTATGTTGACCCTGATGGAAATCCTGTTGGCGTGGAGGATGTTTTCAGCAAGTTGGACAAGGCACGAAAGCACTATGAAGCTGTTGGACTCGGGGCAGGCTTCACAGATCAATTTGTGAGATGAAATAATAATTTAGCAATTGGGAATAGTTTTAAGTACAAACGGTTCTGTTCGATTATCTGGCCCGAGTATTGTTATGTTCTGTGTTGCAATATCAGCCCGCTGCGTGGTTTAGATCGATAGCATATCACTAGAGTGAGGTCAAACTTTCATCGTGCCTTTCTTTATTTGGCGCTTTTAAATATTTAGATTCAATTCGTTTAAACTATTTAGTCTTAGGGGTTATAAACCAGATATCACAAGTAGTAGCTGGGGAATGGTATCTCTCTTAATCACTAAAGGAATAGAAGGCAGACCTTGAACCTCTAGATTAACCCAAGAGCCTACTAAAGTTACCTTTCTGTCTTATGTAACTCACCTAAGTCTTTTCCTCATGTAGGATACCATTCTATATGTGTTTGTGTAAGCTATTGTGTATGTCACTTCCTTACCCTAGGTCAAGTCGATCCAATCAACCGCCTTATACAGCAAGAACTCATAGGAGACAATTCAAATACTTACAAGTATAAGTCAAACCTTTCATATTTATCGCCCTTCTTCGCTAAATTCAAGTCTTGAGTTTTCTGCCATTCTCCAAGGTAGTCCAAATTGTGAGGTGGACAGAGGCAGCGATGTCGGCTTTTGCCAGGTGGTACACATGCTGAGAAAAGAAAACGCCATGACTTAACCTTTTCACTCCTTTATTTTCTTACCTCTATATGAATATCGGTTTCTGATATTTATCTAAGTTTCATACCAGTCAGGATCTCATGTCACAGAAACCTGATTATTTTATTCTCTCACCAAGCCATAACCAAACATTTCTTCACTTACTAAACCGAGTTCGCAGTGGCCATTTGAACCCCGCATGAACAAGTGACTCACTATCTCAAACCCCGTATTAGCCCGTCTAAAAATGTTAGTGCCATACTAGTTACCCTGCAACTTTTCATCACACAACTGGGAGGGAGGGAATTCATTCTTCCCCCACGATCACGACATTAGCACGACATCGCCAACGCCTTCTTTGGTGTTCAAAATTGGGTCAAAAACAGACAAAAGCGAGATCAGAAGACACCAGCAGACGAGCAAAGACGGAATAGCCTGCAAGAAGTTTCGTCACTGAGCCAATTGGCTGCATCTCATCCCAATTCTCACAGCTTGGTGACAGCCTCATTCTCAAGCAAGAGACTGCAACACAACATTTTCAAAGACCTAACCATTCTTGGTATACAAGCAAACCCTAAGACTCGGGGGCGAAAGTGCAGTCACGCTTCACTAGAATTCCGTTCGGCGCCGCATCAAAAATCTCAGTCGATCCGGTGACACCGATCACAACCAAGGTATCATGACCAGCCAACACAAACCTGTTGTCAGTTTCCTCGGCCCAGTGGCCTCATACACCCACCAGGTAAAGCCTATCCTATAGTTGCCCCCTATAGCGACGACCGCATGACACTAGCCTTGACTGACCTGGCTCCGTAGGCTGTCCGTCAGGCCTTTTCTGAGTCAACATGGGAATTCTCCCCTGCAGTTACTATTGATGGTAGGTTCTAGTCAATGCACCGCAGTCGGGATGTCCGTACTGACTTTCCTGGCAAAGACGTATTTGACCAGGTCCAAAGTGGCCAGGTGCAAGCTGGTGTTGTGCCGTTTGAGAACTCCACCAATGGTTTTGTGAGCTTCACCTTGGACAATCTGGCTGACAGAACGAACCAATATCCGGATATCACTGTCGATGGCGAGACGTACGTGGACGTTCACCATTGCCTTGTTGGTCACAAGAGCCCTGTGCCAGCTGTCGAAGACATTGCTGAAGGGTCCGGTACTTGCACCCCGACAGCGACAGACCCGTCACCTTCAAAACCGCGGTCCAGGCCCCTGGCGAGCCTCAAGCACATTCAGCGCTTATATTCGCACCCCCAAGCATTTGGCCAATGTACCGCTTTCATCTCCACATATCTCAAGGGTGTCGAAATTTTCGAAGTCAGCTCAACTAGCAAGGCAGCTGAAATTGTCAGTAAGGACACAACGGGTACCTGGGCCGCCATCTCAAGCGAGCTCGCCGCTAAACTTCATGGTCTCGATTTTCTGGGAAAATCGATTGAGGACAGAGAGGATAACACGACCCGCTTCTTCGTGATTGGTAAAAACGCTGCAGGCCCGAAGGACCTTGAAAAAACCGAAAAAGCTGTTGCTGAGAAGGGAAGCAAGTCACTTGTCTCTTTCACAGTACCTCACACATCACCTGGGGCTTTGGCGGATGTGCTGAGCTGCTTCCGAGCATTCGACATCAACTTGACCAGCATCAACACTCTACCGAGCCTCGTGAAACCATTCCAGTACATTTTCTTCATTGAATTCGAAGGTCACAAGTATGTCGATCCTCAAGGCCGGGTCAACGGTGCGCTGGAAAAAATCAGTCGTGTGGCCGAGAGTTGGAGGTGGCTTGGAAGCTGGGAGAGATACATATAACAAACGAATTATTCACCAATTACATGACATACGTGCATTCACTTTAACGACCAGCAGCACCTATTGCATACACACAATGCACAAGGCAGCATGAAGAGTCGCGATGAACTCCCCGCGAGAACAGAGCAATAGCTCCAGAAGCTTTGGAGAACTCCCCGTGAGCCCAGTGGGGCTGATTGCGTGCTCTCAGGGCTACCTAATGTCGCCCTGGCAGGTCTTTCTTTAGCAGGGCCTGGGCGCAGTGAAGATCACTCACTGTAATTTTCTGTACCGCCATCGGGCCGTCCCACGTCAAAGACAAAAGCTTCCATTGTAAACGGAACATCGGTCGCGTATCAACATCTCACTTTTGCATTACGGAGTACCTTATGTATGCTTGCACAAGACCACCACCATGATCCCCTCTTTGTGCAGGGTGACACCCATGGAAACAGAGACGCCTCCCCCACTACCCGGGATACGCGAACTTGTTTGCCAATGCTGAGTTTACGCTATCAAATCCAATTCAGGCACTTGCAGGACACAACTCACAGCAACGGAAAAAGACATGCGTCTTTTGAGATTTATAGGATTGGCCTGGATCAGGCTTGACCCAGCCGGCGTGGGGCAGGTCGGAGGAATTGACCCTAGGGAAAGTTTGCAAAGTCACTAAGAGCAGGGATCAGAAAAACGAAGGGCCCGATAAAGCCTTGGGGGACTGTGGGATGGGCTCAAAAAGCATCAATGAGGAGCGAGAAAACTCGGATACTTGAGAGATATCTCGTCTTAGTTGCCCCAGCGGAGACCACTATCGACCAACATGACGTACACGCCGCATGCGCAACACGCAGAGGGAGACCACTAAGGGTCGTTGATGGGCCACACGCCCAGGTTCAAGGTGGGAAGATCTAACCGGGTTAGTAATAGCCTACGGACCATCGCTTCAAGCAATTACCATCGGGCGATGGTCCGGAAGCTCTTCAGCAAACTCTGTGAGTACCTACTCAGGTACCCTACCTACTGTGCGCCTGGGCGTCTCGAATACCTTTTAATGGCTTGATCTGCTCTTTCGTGTCCTTGGAGATTTACCCTTCTTCTCATCCTTTCTGCTCTTCCTCCAGCTTAATGTTGCAGCGACAACACTTGACTGCTATATCTCCCTTTTACTCTTGGTTCTTTATCCCAAAATGGCGCTCCGCCCTATCTTTACTGCCACGCACCCACGTGCATGCTCTACGGCCTTTGAGCGGGTATGTTTAGCCCCCGAAATCCCATGATCATGTCGTCTTCCCAGTGTTGGAATTGTCATGATTGCGCTCTCTGCCGTAATGCTAACTCTGGTTATTTGACAGGTCTTCATGGCCCGCCGCGATATCCTAGAGAGTGTTCACGAACCTTTTGGAGATGCCTTCTACTATGGTCCTGAGATCCTCAGTGATCGTTTCAGAAACGACACTGCCACTCGCGAGCAGAGTGGTTTCTCGCAAAAGACCTACAAAGACGTCCTCAACGAGGTCATGGATGCGGGTAAAGATGTTAGTATAATCTCCCCTCCATTCTCATCATGGTTCATGCGATCGTCCGAACTCCCCGAAC